ATTTAAAGACAAAGGAAGGAATTTTGGCTGATATACTCACCTGCTGCCAAAGATGGAACATATCAATACAGTGGATCCCAAGCCACGTTTCGATCAGTGGAAACGAGACGGCCGATATGCTGGCTAAAAGTGGTGTAAATTCGGATAATGTGCTACATAACAAAATTCTGCTTAAAGATGCCTTCCTAAATGCGAAGACAATGTCCATAAAAAGGACACGTGGTATGAATCGTATTCCGAAGAAAAAGGAAAGAACTTCTTCAGCTCACAACCAGAATTTTACACTGCATCATGGTTCAAAGACGTGGATATGAAAGGAAGTGATATAAAACTGATGAATCGACTTATGGTAGGCCACGATTACTCAAAATACTGGTTAACTCGCATGAAAATACTAGATGACTCAGATTGCGAAATCTGTGCAGAGCCGGAAACATCGGAACACTTGATACTTCACTGTCCTCGTTTGGGCATGCTACGAATGCAGTTTTCCTTCGACAATAGATTTGCAACGCTTTCGGATCTTTTCAAAACTCGCAACGAATCACTATTTAAGGAAGTATTATTATTATTATTTAGCTTTATTTAGGAGGTTTTCAGCCTTAGGCTGGTTCGCCTCCAAAAGATTTAAGGAAGTAGTCAAATTCATCAGAATAGCCAAATTGGATCTATAAAATGATCCTAAACAGGAAACACCGTCCCTACCGACGTTAAACTTCTCGGAGGGCATATAGTCTAGACACTGGCCCTAATCTAGAGCTGTCAAACAGATAGCTCGCTTGAGAAAGAAGAAGAAGAAGAAGACGCATATGACGGAAAATGAAAATATATATTTAAAGGATTTCTCACATAAAACCAGTCAGTCTTCCGTTCTAAGCGTGCTTCTTTTTCGTTTTTGTTTTGTGCTAATAGGCTAGCTGGCGTTATAGAACTGATGCGTTAAACACGTTGTATGGGGCCTCCCTTAGCTCAGTCGGTAAAGGCGCAGCTACAAAGCAAGACCATGCTGGAGGTGGCTGGGTTCGATTCCCGGTCCGGTCTAGGAATTTTTTGGGTTGGAAAATTTCTCGACTTCCCTGGGCATAGAAGTATGATTGAACTTGCCACACAATTATACCAATGCAAAAATGGTACAGGCATCGAAAGTTCTCAATTAATAACTGTGGAAGTGCATCTTAGAACACTAAGTTGAGAGCACGCAATAAGCTAATATGCGATATGCAATAAGCTTGAAATGCGAAGAAGAAGAAGAAGGGAGAAACAAAACTCGAGTTCATTTCAGAGCTTCAAAAATGTAAAGTCCTGATCCAGAGTACCCTGGGCAGTACGAAGCTTTTACGTTCAGAGTCCTGCATAACGCAGGCTTGTCTGATAAGAGATTTACAGACGAACACGTTACCCTAGCAGCAATAAATGTACCACTCGCCGGTCAAGGTCTGGGTGCAAGTAATATTACCGTGGAAATGATTTGTCTGTTCTCAATGTTCGGAGCGGCTGATCACCGTTCTAGTGCCAGCGTGGCACCCTAAACAGAGCTGTTCACGATGGTTCCCCGGCGAGACCCCACAAGCTGATCTGGAAAAATATAAAGTTGCAAATACCGAAGACGGAAATACGGATCAGAACAAGTGACAAAGACCTACGCAACGAAATAAGGACTACGATTGGAAACACGGAAAGTGGAACTGCAAATTGCTCGGCTTCCCGGGTTGCGATAATCTATGACGAACTTCGTTGGACCGAACTTTGTTGGACGGGAAAACATGTATGGAAAAGCGGGCATCGAGCGGCTACTTTTACCAGAATTGTGGCACGAGCTGTGAAACGGCTTTGTAGTGCTGGGTAAGATGCGCTAACGCTTGATAGGTTGGCACCCAATTAACACGAGGATGTGTAAGCTGAGGATTAAGGGCCGTTTCTTCAACTACAGCATCATCAACGTGCACTGCCCACACGAAGGGAGATCCGACGACAAGGAAGAAGCGTTTTACACGCAGCTGGAACAGGTGTATGAGGGCTTCCGTTTATTAACGTCCTTTTAAACGAACCACCTTGAAGAGGTGGAAAAAGTTCATTCAGGACGGCCAAGTCGCAACCAGCACCCAGCCGATTAGCATCCCCAGGTAGCGATAATCACGGGCTACTTAGAGTTGGCTATAACCTATTTGCTCTATCATCATCACCAACACAAGCGACTTATAAACAATAGTGCATTAGTGACAACAATGATCCCCCGTTCTTGTTCGCATTACTGACGGCAAATATCACCACCAGCAACCCCACCGGGCACCGCGTGGAGGTTAGAATCGGAGTTCAGGTGCACAGAGGTCGCAAATCGCCGGTCAGGGCAGAACCCAACAACCATTGATAGGCGTTCTTATGCACCTGCTTTACCCGGCAGGTGTATGAGGGCTGCTCGCAACGGGACGTCAAAAATCGTCATCGGCGACATGAAAGCCCAGGTAGGACGAGAGGCAATGTACAGACTGGCAATCAGGTCAAACAGCCAGTATGCCTTATCGTCACGGCCAACGATGCGTAAACTTTGCAGCCTCCCGTGGTATGCTGGTCCGAAGTATACGAAGTATACCTTTTAACCTCGCAAGGATATCCACAAAGCCACCTGAAGATCACCTGACCTGATACAGAAAACCAAATCGATCACGTTCTAATCGACGGGAAATTCTTCTCCTATATTCACCCATATTCTCGTTTTCGTTCTAACCGTTTTTTTCCATACAAAAAAATGTTTTTTTTTATTGTATGGAAAATACGGTTCGAACGAAAACAAGAAAATCGTTGATTATCAACGCCGCATGTATCGTAGTGCAAACATAGATTCGGACCACTAAAGACTGGAACGCGCAAATATTGGCCGACAAAAAAATCGCTTCTTTCAGTCAAAATTCATAACACAAAAATCTTATTTTTCTTTTTCAATTCTTTTTCAGTTCAATTCATATATTTAAAGGAAAAAATGTTCGTTTATTCTTTTGGTTTGCCAAATCCGAACTGCCGTGCCTTCCGCTTAACCCCTTCCATTAAATTGTGTACAGTTGTCTCATCGACCTTATTCGCCGCCGAACTCCAGTTAGATTTAAAGTGCTGCTCGTTTTCCATGGATTTATTAGTTTTTTTAGATTCCGTTTGACCAAAGCCAAAACCGTTCGATAGGGCGGAGTTCTGGGCTGTTGGGAGGATTGTGGTCTTTGGGTACCACAACCACGTTGTTCGCATCGTACCACACGATTGCCTTTTTCCCATACACAGCAAAAAAAAATGTAATATATGTAATATTAATAATGTAATATTCAAGCTGATGTATGAAATAATGATGTAATAGCAAAAAGCAGGTACAATATTACATCAATGGATGTAATTTTGTTCGCAAAATCGATGTACATCGTACAACGTTATATTACACAACCGATGGATTGACCTGGTTGCAGCAGTTTGGATGTAATATTCAACAACTTTTTTTTTCTGTGTAGTGGCAGCTCGCCAAGTCCGGCCAGAACAGCACAGGTCTATTATGTTGCTTTAGGAATGGTAGCAGCCGCTTTTTCAGGCACTCCTGGACGTAGATCTCTAGATTGATGGTTCCCGTAGTAATGAAAATGTCGTTTTGTAGACCACACGAACATATGGCCTGCCAGACGAGATATTTTTTCGGGAACTCCGATAGTTTGATGGTTTTGAAAATTTCAGCCACCTTCCCTTTTCCTGATGCGCTATAAAACTCCTGTCCCGGAAGCTGCTTGACATCCGCCTTCACATAAGTTTCGTCGTCCATGACGACACAGTCGAACTTTGTGGGCAGATTCGTATACAGCTTTTGGGACCGCTGCTTTGCCGAGCCGTCTCGAATGAACTTAATTCTCCTCTACCAGGGGAACAGTGTTTAACGTTAATATATTTAAGCTGCTTTGCCGACGTGTTTTGTTTGTAATCTCGGTTCGCCACCTTCGCTTTCTTAAACGTCGACAACCTTGATCGTTTCTTGGCCCACTGCACAGTAGTATGGGAGACATTGAGCTTGCCAGCGACGTCCCGGATGGAGAGGTTAGGATTCCGCTTATATTTCACCGCCACCTTCTTCGTCGTCGCTGCCACGTCCGGATTACGATTGCCGTCGCTTCCAGACTTCCTGGCGGTCGTCAGACGCTCCCCGAACACTTTTAAAACGTTTGTCACGGTCGATTTGGCCACATCCAGCAATTTTGCCAACTTGGCGTGTGAGAACGTCGGATTCTCTTGATGCGCGAGCAAAATGTTGACACGCTGCTTCTCTTGGTTGGACGTCATTTTGAAAACTGGAGAGCAAACGGTGAAAACTCATCATAGCAACCATTGTATATACACTCAACTTCCAAATGCAGCATTTCAGGTTTTGTTTTTATGCAATTTTACAAGAAATAGGTACACCAATTTGAAGTTGACCAATTTTTGCGCGTTCCCTACTTTACTTAGTTGCATTATGCATGCGTTCAAAAATCTCGACGGTGTATAACACCTGGCGAAGTCGAACGCCGCGACCCAACATTGAGCAATTACGGGACGCGGGAGTTGCCCAGGAGCACGCGCAGCGGCTGGAAGCTGCACTACCCGCGGAAGAGCAGCTTGGCGCAGCTACTCTTGAAGATGGGTGGAGGGACATCCGTAGGTAGTACTGCTGCAGCGGCACTAGGTACAACGGCCCCCGAACCAAACAAAACGACTGGTTTGTTCTGGGAGCACGCACAAAGACGACAGGCTATACCGGCCCCTGATCTATTAAAATATGGTGATGAAGCTCTGGCTAATTGCCAAGATATGGGAGTATGCCCAATCTATCTGAGCCTGGGACTTTGAAAACCTAATTCATATTACACTCGCGTTTGTTATAAATGTAGTGAATCTGTAAAATTATAGATACTCTGCCTTTTCCATCCGATTCGAGAATCTATGTTTTTAACGTTCTTTTATGTTCCACTCGAAGTAATCAACAGCGTTACACGGCGTTAATTTACTTTTTGTTATATTTCATTAAGACTATTGCTGCTCTCAGGTCCAAATACATGAAATTACATCAACTTTTGCGAAATAAGTATACATCAATAAGATAAATACTTACGAAACTATTATTAGGTGAATGAGAGACGAACTACTGCCTTACAGTTACACATGTGTAATGCTATAAATGTCCTATACTCCAAATTATTGTTAGTACGTACGACCTAAGGTGCATCCGTGGGCTCTTGTTTCACTTCCACCACTGGAGCTTCCGTGGATACTGCAAACAATGAAATGCATTATAGTCACATAAAATTCGATTTACCTACGCTATATTTACCATTCGTAGCTAAGTCTTGTCCCTGTTCTATTCCCTCCGTTGTTTCGTCATCATCTCCAATTGGTTCCATCTCTTCCACTGGTTCCACGCTTTCTTCCTCATCACTCAATCGATGTTTTTTGTTATCAGGTTCTTCCTCGTCATCATCGTCTTCCTTCTCAGGGTCTTCAGTCTTGATAGCATTCTGGCAATCATGGGTGTGCTCGTTGGACCGCATCAGTAGCCCATTTCGATGTAACAGCATAGCCACTTTGCAAGCGAAGGTCCGACAACGGTAATATCGAGCCCGGTCTCTTCTAGTGTGACCGGCGACAAACATGGCACCTTTATGGATAAGATACATTCCGCGTTTCTTTCCTTTCACGTCGATCAGCTCGTAGTCGTAGGAACCATCATCGTCAACAAAAGACGTTGTCTGTTCCGCGGTGCTCGATTCTGGAACCTCTTCCACATCTGCGGAATCGATCGAATGTTCAGATGTTTCCGTAATTGTATATGGCAAAGGAATCGATTCGTCCAAGTTCAGTTGATCGGGTGGATGAGTGTGACCTTCATCGTTGGAACTGATCAGTGTGCCGTCAGTAAGTTTGTACAATCCTCCACGACACTTCATCGGAATTCTCCTACTGCAGCGCCAATGTTCCGAACCATCTCGCCGCGACAGGTAGTATACGTAGCGATAGCCCTCGTAGATGATCGGCTTACCGATGTATGGGTTACCTTTGGTGGACGTAGATTCCCTTTTTGCAAAGGCCATCGTAGGTTCGGGTGTCGACGATGATTCGCCATCGGAGACGATAGGACTAGAATTTGTTTGCCTGTTTTCCAATTCCGAATGTTTGCGTTTGAACGAATTATCCAGCGCTTCCATCCGATCGTGGTTATGGTCGGGGCCCTTGACAATGTGTCCATCAGTCAACCGATACATGGAAGCATTGCAGGTCTTTTCAGTGCACTTCCATAGAATTGCTCCGTCATCTCGTTTGTTGGCAAAATTGTACCGATGGCCTCCATGCAGCAACATACGATTGTTGGCTACTTTGGATTCGGAATGAGTCGCGCCATTGCTATGCTCGGCTTTTGGTATACCTTCTTTGGAATCGTGAGACCCGGACTCTTGCTTCGTTTTGAAAGGAGGTGTGTGGCTGTGCTGTTTGTCTCCCACCGGAGCAACCCGACCGTTGGGAAGCAGTTCGATCGGAACGTAACAGCGCCGGTTGATTTCCGGTACGTACGTATGGCAGTACCAAATGCCAGCTCCATCAGTCTTTGAACGAGGAGTCGTATACCTATGGCCACGGTGGACCAATATGTTGCTTCCGTTTTTGTTCTGGACGATCTTGAATTCCTTCGAACCTCTACCGACCGGACGCAGAATGGACAGATCCGGTTTCACGTGTGTATGCAGGGATTCGGCCAGGTTCAATACGCGGCCATTGGAAAGCAGCATCAGCGTAGCCGGGCAGGATTCGCTCGTTTTACACCGATAGAAAACGCATCCGTCGTGCTGTTTGTGTTCAAAGTCGTACACGTAGTTCTCGAAGACGATAAAGTTACGCTGCGAGGAACTCTTCATGAAAGTGTACCTGTAATGGGAAATTCAGTTATAAAATTATTAAATTAAGTTATTTTGTGTTTAATCACCTTTTCGATCCGATGATGGATTCGTCACCTCCCTCGGCATCGTCATCGGATTCCTCATTGAATGTCAAAGCCGGCAGCTGTCCCGGTGGGATTGATGGTTTGACCATCACCGGCTCCTTGAGGACAATGGTTGGTTTCGGATTAACAGAAGTTACGGTGACCGAGACTGGTTGCATCGTGATATCACCTCCTCCTTCGATGTTTGGTGGATGTGTATGGCCGGCACCGAGCGGATCTATCACCCGTCCGTTCGTCAACAGCCGTAGCATGGCCGGACATTTCTTCATCTTCTTTCGAGTGCAGCACAGCGATACTATTCCATTGGCCAAGCGATTTTTTGCCCAATAGCGGTATCCCTGGTAGATCAACGATTCACCGCGAGATGTCTTGGCAATCTTGTAGTCACTATCACCACCTTGAGGTATGACTAATGGCGAATAATGTTCCACCACTTCCTCTTGTGTTTGTGGTTCCTCCGGAGTTTGCTTGTGTACTTCCAATGGGAAACCGAGGAATTCATCATCTCCTTCCTCTCGACTAGGATCATGATTATGGCACTGATCTCCTGCGCGTACTAGCTTTCCATTCGATAGGAGCAAAATTCCCATAGGGCACTGAAGCTTCTTAACCTCGGCGCAGCGATAGTAAATGCTGCCATCCTTACGTATCCACGTGTACCAATAGCGGTAGCCACGGCAGGTGAGTATCTTGTTGGAACCTTCTTCAGCAAACCTAAAGTCGGTGATTCCTTCGTCTTCGGGTATGGTTCGACTGGCTGCACCGCTTGAACTTGACTGGGATCGAGGCGGTGCTATCTTTGGTTCGGTAGTTGCGTTTACACCGACTGCCTTCCGCACTTGACTCGGTGGAGGATGATTGTGAACGATCGCCGATTCATTTGCAGCATTCTTCAAGATTCCGTTGGCGAACAGATACACACCCGCGGAACAGTGATTACTTCTGGCCCAAACGCATCGCCAGTGGGTGGTTCCGTCATTTCTTTGGTAATTCAGTCGGAAGCGGTGATTTTCGTGGATCAAAATATCGTTTCCAACACGATTCTTGACGATTTTGTAGTTTCTAACCTGTTTCAATTCGGCAGCCGGAGGATTTTGCTCGGTTTTCAGCGTATGGGAATGATCTTGCTCACCGGTACTCAGCAAGCGTCCATCCGGACGGAGTCTCACATAAGCGTAGCATTTATAGCGCTTCCGGTGAGCACAACGCCACACTGCCGACCCATCGCTTCGATTGTAGGACAGGTAGTATCGTCGGTCCTTGTAGATCAGGGTATTCTGGTCTTTGCGATTTTTGGCGATCACGTATTCACCGTGATCGATGTAGCGTTCCTCGTCACATTCAGTAAGCTGCACCTCATCCGGTGGAGAAGGTTGGATCGCCGACCTGGCTGCCTCCAGCAAGCCCATTGATGATGATGGCTTGGTCTAGCAAGTAAGCAGATACAAACGTGTATATGTAATTATTGAATAGGTAGACTGCAAAGGTCAGGAAACGGCTCTATCCCGTTTGGCATAATGGTTGTTTTTCATAACTACCGTTTGATGAGTTGGTTGGAAATGCTATCTAACATGAAGCTTTAGTGTGGTAATTTATTAGCTAGAGAAAGTTCTGAAGAGGGTAGGTGGATAGTTCCGCTAGAGTACGGCAGTATGAAAATTGAATAGAAGTTGAAAATGAGCGAACGGCCATTAATGCGACAGTCAAACTCATACTAGACAAACGTGCCCCACGCAAAAATAACATCATAATACCGTTAGCTCTACACTAGCACCTCCATCCCACTGGGAACTTCCCCGTCACTGCCAATTGTGCCCCACTTGCGTGCTTTCAATAAAGATTTTCCTTTCTTTCAAACCTTTCAAACATGAACATTTCTTTCTACACGCTATTCTGAATCTACCCAGTGACTGGGTGTATGGCACCCATTCTTGTATCCAGTAAGGAGTTGTCAAAATCTGAGTAAACTAGTTTTGTTCTGATGAGTAGAATCTACCCAGATTCTGGGTAAATAGTTCTAATCGAAATTTTCCAAAAGCTTATTAGTTTCTGGACTTTGAACATTCTCCTAATTCTAGGTTATCGAGATATTCTGTGACGCTTTTCTCGATGCTAAATGTTTGTTGTAGTTCCTAATTTATAGATCTCATTTAAAATTAAATCTCAATAAATGGTTAGCATTTGTAACGGTATCGTTTTTTTTTTGGGTATTTCAATGTCCTATTCCGTAGCAGTGTTGGCAAAATCACCAATCATATTATATTTTTCCGCTCTCATACGCTCTCAATATCACGCGTGATATTGGATCAAAATATCATGCTTGATATTGATTTTACAAGCTCCTATGATATTGCGATACTATTCACAGCATGCAAAAATCAAGCTGAGAGTTGATCCGACACAAAAATGATTCCGTTGTACATCGTTTTCTTAGAAAGAGAAAGCATAGTTTGCTATCTATTTTTAATCTTCACCGATGGCAGACACGAAGGGACTGCTGCAATCCGTTATGGAAGTTTCGGTTGCATTCGAGTGTAAAGGAAAAATTATTAAACTCAATCTCACCACAGTTTAATGAGATTTGCAGTTGGTAAGTTTGGTTTGCTTGATATTCCGAGCTGCGATATCACAGCTTGCAAATCAACCGCAGATGTTTGTTTGTTGATTTTTGTCTACGAAAATCAAGCGTGATCTTGGGCGTTGGTGAGATTGGATTTTTTGATATTTTGCCAACACTGTTCCGTAGTTCATATTTTTCCGACAATACGACCTCAATAATCAATAATAGGCTAGAGGAGCTAGTCGGGTGAGGTTATGTTTGATAGAGCTACTGCAGTGGTCATATCATCTAATTTTTATTAAAATGGGTAAACCTTTTATCAAATGTCAACATCTGAGTAACCGTTACCGAGTTTCTGTCGCAGGTACGTTTATCCAGATTTGGGTAAATGCATGTTTACCCATTTTTGGGTAGGTCCAGTTTTGACCGATCAATTGGATTCTACCCAAACTTGGGTAGTTTTGATATAACGTGTAGTGTTAAAAACTATTGGGGCTTTATCACTGCTCCTGATACTTCGTGCAACAAATGAAATCAAAATCCATATTTTTATTTAATTTCCTAAGTAAATGTCCGATGCTTCGTATTTTACCATGTTTCTATGGGACCCGTACAGAAGGCCGAATCACAACAGGCCGAACAGTGTGTTACTACTACCTAAAGCTACAACAAATTTAAACAGCACTTTTCAGTGCTCAACCTGTAAAAAATTTCTACCTTGTTCAACTCTTATTCCTCTTCGATCCTTGTTTGGACCCTACCCGAGGTAATCCTTCTTGGATATCGATTTGGAAAATTCCTCTTCGATCCTTCAGAATCTTATAGTAATCTGCTTGGAAGTCGATTTGGATAAAAATTTACTGCCGCCATGGCGCCTAAACGCAAAAGAAAGGGGCAAACTCTTGACCCCCCTTCTGATGAAATTAATTTGAGTAATCAATTTGATTTGCTCACGGATGATGAGAATGATCCATCATCCAAGAAAAATTCTAGTAAACTTTCCCGGCTTAATGCCAAGAAGGAAAAGATGCCCCCTATTGTGATAACCACTACCGATTTCCATGCTCTTCGCATGGAACTTTTGAATTTCGTGAAAGTTAAGTTTTCACTACAAATTGGACGTCGGGGTGAATGCCGTGTATTGGCTGAAACCTTGGACGGATTTAAATGTCTTCTCAAGTATCTTACTGAGAAGAAGCACAAATTTTTTACTTACGACACCAAAACTGAACGTGTGTTCAAGGTTGTCATGAAAGGACTGCCCAGTGGTGAATCCCTGGATCAGATCAAAGATGAACTGGCAAAATTACTTGGAGTTGTGCCACTCCAAGTAATCAAAATGAAAATGAAATCCCGTCCTGGCGATTCGCGCAACGGGATTTCTAATGATTTTTATTTAGTTCACTTCAAGTCTAGTGAACTAAACAACCTTAAGGCCTTAGAAAAAGCTAGCCTTATGCTCCATGTCCGAGTGAAGTGGGAACACTTCAGGAAGACTGGAGGAAATTTCCAAAACCTCACCCAGTGCCGTAAGTGCCAGGGATGGGGTCACGGAACTAAAAATTGCTACATGCCAGCTAAATGCATGAATTGTGGTGATTCCTCTCACGCAAAGGACGACTGTCCTGTGAAGGAAGATCCTAAGAAATTTAAATGTTCAAATTGTGGTGAAAACCACAAATCCAATTTTTGGGAATGTAAGACTCGCAAAGCGATCCTACAATCTCGTTCTAACCGTCAGGTAGGAAACGCTCCACGTTTCCGACCAGGTACAAATTCCTCTGCTGTTAACAACGGTCAGCGAGGAACAAATTCTACATTCGTACCCGTTGGTACAAATATCTCCCCTGCTTCAAATGTTTCATCTGTACCTACTCCCCTCGCTGCTAACAATGTTCAGCGAGTTAATGGAGCTACCTATGCTGCTATTGCAGCGGGTAGAAATCAAAATACTAACCAACGTTCTAACGGAAATTTTGACAATTTTGACTTAGAAAGCATTACTGCCCCCAAAATGGAATTTTTACAGAATTCATTAATTGACATGATTTCTGATATGCTTAAATCTAACTCCATGTTTGATGCTATTCAAACTGGAGTAAAATTTGCAAATAATATTGTCATGACTTTAAAATTCAGTAATGGATTTTAAAGCATTAAATATTGTAAATTGGAATGCTCGATCTCTTAAAGATAATGAAGACGAGCTATTTAACTTTTTGAGAGTTCATAACGTGCATATTGCCGTTATAACTGAAACGTTCCTTAAACCTGCCCATAAGGTTAAGAAGGACGCAAATTACTTGATTTATAGAAATGATCGTCTTGATGGACCCTGTGGTGGCGTTGCCATCATTATTCATAGACGAATCAAACATAAAATTCTTTCTTCATTTGAAACCAAAGTTTTTGAAACTTTGGGGGTTTCTGTTGAAACAAAATTTGGACAACTTACGTTTATAGCTGCCTATTTGCCATTCCAATGCGTAGGCCAGCAAAAGAATTTTCTCAAGGGTGACCTCCAGAAACTTACCCGTCATAGGTCTAAATTCTTCATTATTGGTGATTTTAATGCAAAACACCGCTCATGGAATAATGCTCAAAGCAATTCCAATGGTAATATTCTGTTTGATGATTGTTCTGCAGGTTATTACACTATTCAATATCCAAACAGCCCAACATGCTTTTCTTCTGCAAGAAATCCCTCCACTATTGATTTGGTCTTAACTGATTCATGTCAACTTTGTAGCCAATTGGTTACCCATGCTGACTTCGGTTCTGATCACCTTCCAGTAACTTTTGAAATATCCCAAGAAATAATTTGTAATCCCAACAGCTCTACTTTCAATTACCATAGAGCTGATTGGGAGCAGTATCGAACATTTATGGAATATAACTTCGATCCAAACATTCCTTTGCAAACCAAAGATGAAATTAATTATGCTCTTGAATCTCTGACTACTTCTATAGTTGAAGCAAGAGCTGCCTCAGTACCAAAATGCGAGGTTAAATTCGATTCAATTATAATAGACGATGATCTTCAGCTCTTGATCCGTCTTAAAAATGTCCGTAGGAGACAATATCAAAGAACACGCGATCCTGCCATGAAAGTTATCTGGCGGGATTTGCAAAAACAAATTAAAAAGCGATTCTCTGCCCTGAGGAACAAAACTTTTGAAAATAATATTTCTAAATTAGACCCGAGTTCCAAACCCTTTTGGAAACTCACAAAAATTTTGAAAAAACCTCAAGAGCCTATTCCAGCGCTTAAAGAAGGTGGTAAAATTTTGATCACAAATTTGGAAAAAGCTCAGAAACTTGCTAAGCAATTCGAGAGTTCCCATAATTTCAGTTTGGGTCTTACTAGTCCTATTGAGAATCAGGTTGCTCGGGATTTTCTGAATATTTTCTCTCGGGAAAATATTTTTGATGATTCCTGGGGGACTGATTTGGACGAAGTAAGGTCTATAACTAAAAATTTTCAAAATATGAAAGCTCCAGGTGATGATGGAATTTTCTATATCCTCATCGAAAAACTCCCAGAGAGTACCTTGTCTTTCTTGGTAAAATTATTTAACAGATGTTTCCATTTGGCATACTTTCCTGATAAATGGAAAAATGCAAAAGTTGTTCCAATTTTGAAGCCGGATAAAAATCCAGCTGAAGCTTCTAGCTACCGTCCAATAAGTTTGCTTTCTTCAATAAGTAAACTTTTTGAAAAGATAATTTTGAATAGAATGATGCTTCACATCAATACGAACTCAATTTTTGCAGATGAGCAGTTTGGATTTCGCCATGGGCATTCAACTACTGATCAACTCTTAAGAGTTACCAATTTAATTCGTTCAAACAAATCTGAAGGCCACTCAACTGGAGTTGCTCTTCTAGACATAGAAAAAGCATTCGACAGTGTTTGGCATGAAGGTTTGATTGCTAAATTGAAAAAGTTTAATTTTCCACTTTATATTATGAAATTAGTTCAAAATTATTTAACTGACAGAACTCTTCAAGTAAATTATCAAAATTCCAAATCTAATCGACTACCTGTTAGGGCAGGAGTTCCTCAGGGTAGCATTCTTGGGCCTATATTGTATAACATTTTCACTTCGGACCTCCCTGATTTGCCTCAGGGTTGCCACAAATCTTTGTTCGCTGATGACACAGGCATTTCCGCTAAAGGAAGAAGTCTTCGTGTTATTTGCAGCAGACTGCAGAAAAGTTTAGATATTTTCTCTTTTGAAGTTTGCCTCCCTGGTACAGTACAACCGAAGTACATAGAATTTCGAATGTTGAGACTTTAGCACAAATGTCCAACAAAATAATTAATAATTTCAGGCAAAAATCGTTGCAATCCTCAATTGCAACGATTAATTCCCTTTATACTTAGATAAGATTTAGTTTTAGTGTTTAGTTTTAAGATATCAATTGTTATACTGACATGCAGGTTAAAAAACCTGTTTAAAATACTGAATTGCCAAGACATGAACAATGTAAAAACACTTAGATATATATCATAACAATTAAGGCTGGTACGTTACTGCAGTAACTGGAGCACCTAGGTTAAAATGAAATGTAATTTATTTTGAATTTGGAGCAAATAAAGAGTTAAAAAAAAAAAAAAAAAAAAAAAACAACAGGCCGAAGCACAAAAAGCCGAAACACAAAAGGTCGAAAATATTCTAAGGTACCACAAAATGCCGAAAGCCAGAAATACCGAAAACCAAAAAGGCCGAAAATTTATCACAAGCCGAATTCGTTGAAAACCGCATCCAAACAATCTGTTAACCTTTCTGCTCGCACAACTGACTCGGCTCGTTTAATGGTTTTCATTCACAAAAAAAATGAAGCCAAGATGAAATTAGATATAGAGGTTTTCTCACTTGCTGACTTTTTGGAAAAACCAGTAAAGTGGTAAGCTTCGGGTAAGAGAAGGGTAAGGAAATGATAGATGCGATAGAGGTGAACGGTTTATTTACGCATACACAATATTCTGATTGGGTAGCGAGTTGCGCAAGTAGTTGAATGTGTGTAACTAGAACGTTCAACAAGACGGACCAAGAGCAATAACGCTGCTAATGACAATTTTCGATTTGAGAACACCTCCCATATTGAATTTCATCTTGAACGAAGCCATCATCGTCATTGAATACTCAAACATCTGGAAAAATAAAACTAACTATCACTTTCTCTCTCCTTCAGCATCTGAAGCCTTTCTGCTCATACAACTGAGTCAGTTGATTTGTCCGCATTCACAAAAAACGAAGCCAAATTTTAAGTTTTTTTTTTATTTTCGTTACGGAAATCGAATGGCTATTAAGTAGCTTCCATTATATTTTATTTCGAAGATGCAGCATAATAATTATTGTAACTTTACTTTAATAACGTAATTTAATTTATTAAAAACAAATTAACAAAAGCCCGAATCGGGAAAGCGACAAAGTGGACGGTCCACTTTGTCACTTTCCCGAGCTTTTGTGTATTTCGGCCTTCTGTGTTTTCGGCCTTTCATAGTACTCCCGTCTCTATGCTTGTGTTATTGAACAGCATTTAAATTTAAACAATTTCAGTGTTACACTTATGCCGAACGAATATTATATATTATTATATTACACGACACCTCTCACCATCCCTCTCCAAAGGGGGAGTTTGGTAAAGAGAGATGAAAAAATCGATTTGTACCTTCCTTTAAAGTTGTCCTAGCTCGCTATCTACTATCTATATGCAATTTTCACACTGCCGTACTCTAACGGAACTATCAACTCTAGACTTTCATCTCCTCCATCTATCGTATAAAAATAACCACTTTAGTCTGTTATTTGAAATTAGCATCTTAAACTACGTTGTAAAAGAGCTTTAAAACATTTTTGGATTAATTGGAATGGCAGTAGTTGAATGTAAACAAACAAACAGTGCATATGGGTGCGTTACGTCTAGAAAAAGCCTATAGCAGCCTATACGCTGCTTACATTACCGAGACTATGTAAATTCCCCTACTAGAATTTCGGAATATTCCAAAGTTCTCGAAGCTGCTCATGTTTAAATGTCTTCTCTAAAATATTAGATTCTGATTTCTCATCTAACTTTCAAATCCAAGAACTCACAAATTCTCCCAAAGTATATTTTTAGATCTTAAATTTTTAAATTAAAACAGCATTCGTAGTACAGTACCTACAACCCGAAAGTACTGCTCATGTTTTAAAGAAGGAAATATCTCCTAAAATTATTATTTTCGGGTAAGTGTTATGAAACGGTTCTAGCACCAACGCATTAATACAATTTAATGTATTAAATTTTCGATTTTTTTTGTTAAATTAGAAAAGTAACTTTTTCACACCGTTCTAAGATACCCCGGGGCAAGATGAGCACCCCTACGAGGCAAGACGCGCACCTTTACCAGAAGCTGTTTTTATGATCTTTTTTTTTTTTTAATTTTATAGATTTATAATATTTAGTTTATCAAAACAAAATACCAGCACCAGGTTGAAAAATTAATTGAAAGTTGTAATAAATGACGCTTGAGGTGATACTCTTAGGAAGCCTTAGCGTGAAACTTCTAAGGCAGCATTTTTTGGGTGGCACATTTTTATCAGTTTTTTGATGCCTAGTTATTGAATATTTCTAAATCATTTTTGGAACGTTGCATCTTAGCATCATTGTTGAAATGTACAAAGGTATGTGCAGTTTCTAAAAATATAAGATTTTTGATGTAAACTTTAAGGGTCCTCATCTTGCTCGGGTGGCGATCGCGCCCCGTCTACCCCTAAATGGGAATAAGGGTGAATTTCTATTTATCGGTATAAGTAATTTTGTTAAGCATTTATGCCAAATGGCCATTATGAAAAACGTCAGTCAACCCAATGTCCATTATGTCAAACGGCGTTATGCGAAATGGGGCAGTGCCCTGGAAACTTACCGCTGCTGAATACGAGTTTGATGGAAGCGGTCTGCCCTCCGCTCCTCCCTTGTGATTGTGTTCCTTGCCATTGCTGGATGTCACAATCGTACCGTTATCTCTGCAGAAGAGCGCTGCCCGGCAGGAACGGCTCTTGAAGTGAACACATCGCCAGTACTCTCGGCCATTCTTCTTGCGTACGATCAACCGATAGTAGAATCCCTTATGCTCGACAACATTTCGTCCGTAGTTGACTGCATCGGGCGCAGTGGCAGCTTGAGCGACGGTTGAAGCACTACTGGTTGGATCCGGCGTTTTCGGTGCAGGAGAAGGTCGGTTGCTTCCTCCCGGGATAATGTTCAGATAATCGTACAATGGGTTAACTCGGGTCGGTACGATGGATTCGAGTTTCTTGGTGGATTCCCAGTTGGGTCCATGGTTGTGTTCGGCATTGTTGTTACCCTGTACAATGCGATCGTCTTGCATGAGGAAAATGATGGCACGACAGCTGCTGTTCGATCGACATTTCCACGACGAACTTCCGTCCTGGTTCCTGTTGCGGATGGAATAGCGATACCCTTGGTAGAGTAGCGTCATTTGACCTCTTTGGTTTTTGAATAACCGATAGGCGCGACCCTTGCCATCAGAGGACGAGGGCGTCGACGATGACGGTTTAACCGAAGCAGCACTAGGAGTAACTTGCGACAATGATTGACCAGATACCGTATGGTTATGTTCGGATTCGCTAAGCATCTTGAGCTGGCCAGTTGGAAGCATCTTCACAGCCACTCGACAGCTGTCTACGTGGCAAATCCAAATTATACAACCATCCGGTAGTTCTTTGATCTTACGATACTGGAAACCATCCCATTCGAGTGAATCGCCTTGGCGCTTGTAAGCTGTCGGTTTGCTAGGTTCACTGATGGGTTGCACCAATGGCGCCGGTAGGGATTTAGCAACTCTCTCAATCTCCGGCGGCAAATCGACCAACGGTTGATGATTGTGCTTGATGGAATTTTCCTCCGGTGTACCATCGGCAAGGATTAGCACACCAGCCATGCAAGTATTTCCACCCATCGAACATCGCCATACCGTGGTGCCATCTGGCCGTTCGGACCGCTTACACATACGATTGCCTTTGTGAATCAAGCACTCATTATTGCTTTTGTTCGTACTGTAGTAGTAGTCAGGATGTTTTGGTGGTGGTGCTTGAGGTTCTTCTTCCACTGTTTCGTCGATAGTAAGATCTGCAAGATAAATTCATTTATTTCCAGGTAGTGTTGCAAACAACAACCACGTGACAGAACTTACCCACATCAGAGCTGACGTCATAAGAAATATTTTGATCATACGAAACATCGGCGCCACCGCCGCTGCCGCCGCCTATATCGTCACGATCAGTTTTCTCGTGGTTGTGTCCAGCATTGATCACCTCAACACGGCCATCCACTGCCAAGTTAACCGAAGCTTTGCAAGTCTTTTTGTTCATCTGGCAAGTCCACAGGATGGAACCGTCCACCCGGTCCCGGATTTTGCAGTATCGATATCCACGATGGACCAAACTGTCCGTGTTGCGACGATTTTTGATGATCCTGAAGTCCGGTGGCCCATTCTTTGGTCGCGGGTACGGCCGATCGGTAGAACTATTGTGCCAAACGGATTCGTGTCCTTGATCGTTATCGGCTTCACTCACGCCTTCACCGCCCATCCAGGTGACGTCATCTCCACCTAAAACAGTCTGCAGTAACGAGTGCATATTTATTTCCGAATCGTTGCCGACTTCATCTTGCTCACTGATGTCGATTACTTCCGGTTGCGATTTGTCTTGCTCTTCCGAATCCGGCTCGTAATCCGAGGGTTTGATATTTTCGCTCGGTTTATGTGAATGCTCCGCGTTTTCCACCATCGCCAAGGTATCATTAGGGAATAGAATGACACCCGCCTTGCATCCTCTCTGGGAGGCCGAGCAACGCCACAGTGAAGTGCCATCGACTCGGTCACACTTCTTCGTGTATCGATAACCTGCGTGGATCATACTAATGCCGTTCTTGCTATTCTTGACATAATACCACTGGCTACTACCAAACACCTCAGGATCAATTGGGTATGTAATTTCCTGGCCAGTTGGCTCTACCTCCTCGTCGTCATCCATTGTATCCATATCGTTCGGCCTCTCGTGATTATGATCATATTCAGTAGCTTTGGCAATCGATCCATCTGGGAACAAATCGACCGCCGCTCTGCAGGTCTTCTTGTTCATTTTGCATAACCACTTGATGGAACCATCCTGACGGACACGTACCTTGCAATACCGATATCCGTCGTAAACTAATGCCTCGAATCCTTTCCGGTTCTTGATTATACGATAACCACCTGCGGTTTGTTGCTCAACCGTAAAGTTTGGACACTGAATCGGTGGCAGGAGGGTCAATTTCGTTTGACTTCTGACAGGAGTGATCAGCGGATCATCAACAATCTCCACATCCTCATCGCAGTACTCTTCCGTAACCGGAGCTTCAGTCTGTTCATGATCATGCTCGTGATCAACACCCATACGATGTATGTAGCCTTCGGCGTTGAGTACTACCTTCACCCGGCACATGCCGCTCCTGTACGAACATCGCCAGATAATCGAACCATCCACCCGAGACCACTCCTTGCTGAAACGGTGACCTTCGAACACAAGGGCGTCGTTTCCTGCAAGCAAAACAAATAATGTACATTTACAACAATTTATCAACTAAAAACACACTCACCTCTTTGGTTCTTCGTAATGCGGAACATTCGGCTGCCATTGCCTTGTTCCTGTCTCTCCAGGTACCGTTTGTCCGTCTCATGACGATGTTCACCGGACTTTTCGATCCTCCCATCGGCATAAATGATAGCTACCGCCCGACACTTGTCATAATTCCGGCGGCAGCGCCAAAGCACCGCACCATCATAGCGCTCCCGATCTTTGCTATACTGGTGGCCTTCGTAAATCAAGCACTCGCGCCCCTTTACATTCGTCGTTATTTCATAATCCTGTCCTGCAAGCCTTTGCTCATCCGACATCATCACTTCGACACTGGGCGTCAGTAGCGCAGCCATTTCGTCGTTATAGTCCTGCTCTGGCTCGTCATCATCGTCGTCGTCATTCTCCACGTCCTCAACAATCGTGTACGCCTGTAGCACTCCTTCATCCATTGCATTGTCCATATCGGTGTCTTGTCCATCACCAAGCACCTTACCATGATTGTGCGTGCCATGGTACTTCACTTTGGCTTCCGGATACACGTACACACCAGCCGAACACTTGTTGTTATTCGATCGACACTTCCAAAACGTCGACCCGTCCATCTTAACGTACCGCTTGCAATACTTAAAGCCGAGATGAACCAGCGTTGCACCTTTCTTCTTGTTTGGCACAATCTTCAAAGTATCTTCACTTACACTGATCAATTCCGAGCAGTTTACGCTCGAATCATCTGGATTCATCTCGTCCTCACCAAACTGCTCTCCAAAGCTATCAACCAAAGACATCTCCTCCTCACCCTCCGGCGGAAACGATACCGACTGTGAGGCCTCTTCCCAGTCACCCTCGAATGGGGCATTCGCACCATGGGTGTGTTTATTCGAGTTTGCATGAGTTATCGTATCATCAGCGTTAAGATTTACGGCTGCCTGGCAGCCACCCAGCCGACATCGCCAATGGACCGAGCCATCCCGACGACTGAAATGTCGACAGTACAGATATCCTTGAAAGACCAACCGTTCCCGGTTGTTGGCGGTCATTATAATGCGATAGTTTGACTTTTTGCTGCTTCCGGCTTCCGGCAGATGCTTGCGAGGCTGATACTCCTTGGAGTGCGCTGGCACACCTACAGCTTCACCGTCACTGTTGTAGTATATTTCATCATCTTCCACAATGATTTCCCGTTTAATGGTAATCTGGTTTGAAAGATGATTGATTAGGTGATCAACTAGCAGCTGTATCAATAGAATGTCGGAAAGTTACTTACCTCATCGGTAGTATGAAGAGGGTTTAGATCAGCAGGACTGCTATGCATTTTTGAGCCCATGGGCTGCAGCAGGTCATCTTCTCCGTCCTTGCCAGCTAGTTCCTGTTCCGGAGCACCATGAAACTGTACAGAGAAGATTTTGTTTTAATCATGGAAAACTAATAGGTGAATAATGTTTAGTAAATACACCTGGATCACCAAATTATTATTATTTTTCGTCTTACTAAGATTTACTCCTGCCTTCTTGGAGCATTTTCACAGTTGGTAATTAAGAGATTTTTAAGTCTTGGCAATCATAATAATGAGTTAATTATTATGGAAAGTTCGATATTTACCCGTTTTATTCTTTGAAACAGGGATTACGAACATGATTATCTGCTAGATCAGGCTAAGGAGAATATATAAATAAACACAAAAATACAGTTTTATCTCAGGCCGTTCGCAATGCTGTTGTATTTTATAAGGACTGTTTCAATTTGAAACTAGAACAGAAACGCACCTCTCGCAATGCTGAGTTGCAGTTTCATTATTCGAGCACTATTTTGCACCAGATTTGCAACTGCTCGACTATTCTGTTTTATTTCTGAGCGAGTTTGAAACACGAATGGAACTCTGTTTCAAATTTCTTTGGATGTATTTAAAGATGTTTCGAAGAGCTTCACAAAAAAAATCTATGAACTTCATAGAGAACAGTACAGTTTATGGAACTTGATGATTACAAACATCTTTTAGAACTGTGCGTTGCGCTGATCGTGTTGCAGTTTTATTTTTGACAGTTTCAAATTATAGAATTGACGAGTAGTTTAAAACAATTGTGAAACTCAGCATTGCGAACGGCCTGACAATATTTAATAAACATCAAGCTGTCAATCATAAGGCACTGTTTAAATTATGGTGCTTGTACGGTAATTGGAAAATCTTGATTTGCTACTTTGTTGGTTTGCTTCCACAACCGACGCCTCCCCGCCTATCTTATAGTACGTTCAGACTACAGAGTTATAACATGTTATAGCGCTATCTTGATGGTGGTTTCTGTGTTGCAATTATTTGACAACCGTTATAACATGTTATAACTCTCCAGTCTGGACAGCGTTTAAAGGTGCGTTTAGATTATCTGATTTGTTGGTCTGATTCGAGCGGACTGCTCGATAATTTTTGTCAGATGCAATATTCGAATGCGTTCAGACTTCTTCGACATGATGATTAGATTTGACGTTTGATTTGTCGAACGAAATAGGTTTGTGTTTAATTTTCATTCGACTTGTTCAGTAAAGTAGCCGCAAGTGAGGTTAAAAAAATCAAAGATTTCTCGCGTAACATTTGAATAGGGCCTATGATCAAAATGTGAACAAACCGATTTTTGATACCATTCTGTAGCACTGGTAATTAGCTACCAGTCGTATAGGAATGTTCCGCATTATCGATAAAAATCATTAAAAATAACTTGATTTTAAAAACGGCCGATCCACGAAATTTTTCCAATCATTCATGCTAAAACGGCCTAACCTCCATTCATAAGCCTAGCGACGTAGAAGGGCCGATGATTGAAAAAATTCAAATCAAAGCTAGGCCCTACTGCTTGAGGCAGGGCCGATGATTTATTTGACGTTAAGAAAAGGCTTAGCAAAGGGCCTACAATTTATGATGACAAGCACAACGGCTTAACAAAAAGGGCCTAACCATTTAAAGATTCACAAAAAGGCTTATTACTGTGATATTAAATTTTTATCGATTTTCATGTATTTTTGAAGACGTTTCGCATGTTTTGGATGTTGTGTACTGAGATATAGTTACTATTGTTAATGTGAACAATATAAATGCCTAAAATACTTCAATTTATTTATATAGGAATTAAATACTTGCGGAAAAATTTACAATTCATTTTCTGGATTGTTTACATTTTGGACATAGGCCCTTTTTCAAATGTTACGCGAGATTTCACGGATTTGAACTGCCTAAAACGCATTATTTGTGTTTTGATGGCATCCAGCAGCAAGGTAAACCGATTGCACCATTAAATATTGTCCTGTGTATGATTTGACTGATTTTTATTTTCCAGTGTGATTGGCCGAAAGATACCGTAATGGCTTTTATCATGGCCTGGTCAACAAAACAGTGTTTATATAATACGAAGCATGTATTATATAAGAATAAGCATGCCAGACAGCAAGTCTAAGAACCTACTAAGATTTTTTAAAGCTTCAGAAAGGTTCGGAGATCTACTGAGAAATTTATAGAGTTTCAGGGTAGTTCGTAGATCTTGAAAACAGAGCTACAAATCTTTAGAAAATTTTACAGAAATTACAAGAAATTTGCACATATTCAGGAAAATGTACAATAGATCTTCTGATAAATGTTCAAAAAATTTCAAAACTTCAAAACTTCAAGCAAGGTAAAATATTTAAATTTGTTAAACTATAAGCGACATTTTGCAAATCTTCAGGGAAATTTGCAGAACTTCAGTTCAAGAATCTACAGTGAAAAATAAAAAATTTCACAGAAGTTTGGACATCTACTGAAGAAATATTGAACATCAGTGAAGTTCGTAGATCTTCAGAACGAAGTTACAGAACTTTGAAAAAAAAATACAGAACTTCTGAAAAAATCACAAGAATGGTCATAGATCTTCAGATAAATTTTAAGAACTTCAAGAAAGTGTGGAGACTTTCTAAAAAAAATTAAAATTTCTGAAATTTTAATGAATCTTCAGTGAAATTTGCAGAACTTCAGGGAAATTCGGCGATTAAAAAAATATTTATACGATTTCAGAGAAATTTGTATATTTTGAAAAAGACATTTAAAACTTCAAGGAAGCTCAAATATGTTCAGATAAATTTGGAGAACTTTAGATAATTTAGAAGATCTTCAGGGAAATTTTCAGATCTTCAGAGTAGCCCGAGAGCCTACAAAGGAATTTACAAAACATCAGAGAAGTTTGCAGGTCTACTGAGAAATTTATTGAGCCTCAAGTTTTTTTCCTAGATCTTGAGAATAGAACTACGGAGCTTCAGACAACTTTACAGAACATTAAAGATATTTGCAGAACTTTAATGACGAGGCTCGGTAGCTCAGTGGTTACCGTTTCTGCTTACTTTGCCTTATTCTATACCCACTAGATTTTAATGAAAAACAAATTCTTCTTTAACAGCGATCGCATCACTTACCACAGTGTGGGTTCTGATCTAAAAATAGAAATTGGATGAGTGCGCGCGCGTGTGTGTGTGTGTGTGTGTGTGTGTGTGTGTGTGTGTGTGTGTGTGTTTGTGTATTATAATCGCTCTACCAAAAACGATCCCTGCGTGTGCGTGCATCCTTTCCCCACATCCAACATCCCAGTGATGTCTCGTGGAAGCGCAGAGGATTTCTCGGTTTCCTTCACAGCGAGTACCACGTCAACACATTCCTTCCCATTCCCTAGTTGACCTGCATTCGGACACGGCCGGCGCTGGTATTGCTAAATATTAGATCACCAGCTCTTACACATTGAGGATGAATGTTAGTCCCAAACATCATCTGTTGGTTCTCTGTGTAATTGCAGCTGATCTGGTAATAACAGAGCAGCATCCGTGGGCGGTCAATCATGCTCATGCTCATGCTCAAAGATATTTGCGGAACTTCAGAAGAGTTCAGAGTGTAGAACTACTAAATCTACTGAAAAATCTGCAGATGTTTAAATAAGTTTTCTGAATTTTATTTCGATTCTTGGATTTCAAGAGAAGTTTACAGAAATTCAGGAAAGTCCGCTGATCTTCAGAGATACTTGCACAATTTCAGAACAAATAGTAGATCGTCAGAGAACTTCCGGGAAGCTCAAAAATTTCCAGATAAACTTTTTATACTTCAGGGAATTGTATTCAGAGATATTTGCAGATTCAATGAATATCTACAGAAAAAATACAAAACTTTCGAGAAGTTCGTAGATAATTAGAAACTTAGAAAACGGTCAGAGATAATTGTTGATCTTTAAAAATCTTAAATCTGCAGGGATTCAGGAACTTTGTAGATTTTTAGAGAAATTTGCAGAACTTCTGAAGAACACACAACTTCAAAAAAAAATCCGCAGAGCTACCAAAAAATTTGCGTATCTTCAGGAAAGTTTGCTGATCTTTATATATATTTTACCAGAAAACATAAGCAAAACTTCAGATAAATATGCAGAATTAAGTTCTTAACAGAAATTTTCAGAACTCAAGGAATCATGTAGATCTATAGAGAACTTTTCTCACTAGTTTGTCGAAAGTTAGTATCGACATCCTGGCGAAGTTTTGAATTTCTTTTTCGTCTTCATATCACAGTTCTTGAAGGACAAGATGAGCCAGATCCCTGCTGGTGTTCCTCCTGAGCAATCATATCCTACTCCACAAAGTTCACCTCCTCCTTCTCATTTTATTAAAAAAAAAAATAAAAGCTAATACACCTACCGAAGCTAGAGCAATTTGCCGGTAATTCATGATGGAAGTATTTACTTTTGATTCCTGATACAGTTTTGTTTTGAAATCGAAATTGACAGTTCTTTTGATATGTGCAAGCACTGTATAAAACTAGCAAAATTCGACCAGATTTTCCGTTATGGCGGCGGTCAAAATCAGATAGTCTGAACGGACCTTAAGGGACCATGCATAAATGACGGAGAGGGGTATGCTAATTATGCGACAATAGGGGAGGCTTACTTACAATTTGAACACAGCATTAGGGTGGTCCAAATATCGTTTTTGCTCCACACCGCTTAATCGATTCTTAATCAGGTCCTGATCATTTTGCGATTTTACAAATTGTATTTTAGGATTTTCTAAATCTTATTTCCAGATTGCCTGAATCAGCTGTTGAGATTCTATGAACCCCACGTTGATATCTTCTGATTTCTGTTTCTTTATCACCTGAACCTCTTTCTATTTTTTTTTAAATTCATCACTTCTGGATTGTCTGAAACCCATTTAGGAATTCTACAAATTGTATTCTGCGATTCTCTGAAGTCTCTTGTTAATATTCTGAGACTCACAGAACTGTAGTATGAGATTCTCGTTTTCTCATTTTTAAATTATGAAAATCACCACGGTCTTCTTTGAGTTCGATTTCATAATTTTCTAAATCTTGGATGAATCCTATTCTGGAAGTATTTCAAT